GCCAGGATTATCCATAAGGTGCATATCTATAGGTCGCAAAGTAGGCACGGGGTAAACAACAACAACAAAGACCGACAGAACAACAGCATGCCATGGCGTCCGAGCATGACGTGCCAATAGGTCCCCCAACGGCCCATGATCGCCAGCCAGACAGTTGGAAACGCCTCCCCAATGGCATCCAGTCGTGTCACGGAGCCAACGTTGCACGACATGATTTGTGCAGAGCCGGTGGCTGCCCAAAAAAGAAGCACATGCACGCCGTTCAGAACTTGTTGATTCTCGACCAGGGATCCACCCAGATAATGCCACTGCCTTCTCCCCGGCAAATCAGATTGAAGTCGCTCTGTGGGCTCCCGTCAAACAACCCTGAAGACAATCACGGTTAGATGTCATCGTCGGGGTCTCGTCCGAGTGCCGAATTTCTTTTCCTCAAGTCCTCACTTATCCAGCTGACTTGCAGGTTTCCCCCGTACTGGTGCAGTGGGTTGCGATTTTCACATTATGGAGTGACACGCCATTGTAGTAGTAGTAGTAGCAGTAGCAGTAGTCATAATCCCCCAAACCATGAACTTTGATTATCTGTGCCAGTGCCAGTAGTAGTGTACACATACGCGCAAACTCATACACAATTATCCACATTGACGCAACCACGATGAAGTTCGCTCGGTTTAGAATATAATAAAGCATTGAAAATATCCAGAATCAATTTTTAGCAGCAGACTGTATTAAGGAGCAAATGATGACGAAATTGTAAGGAAAAGAAAAATAAAATCCAGGTATTTGACCGCGAGGTCCAACGTTCTAGTCTGTCTTGGTATCAATCCATGTATCCCAAATCAAAAAGAAATAACCCCATCCCGTCTATTCCCAACGCCGGTAGTAAAGCAGACCAAGTAGAAAAACAACAAATCTCGACAAATCACTTTTGGTGGAACAGATCATAGACCTGAGCTGGTTCGTGTCGGCGGATTAAAGGTGTATGGAGGCAAAAATAATGGTCGATCGAAGAATTGAAAAGAAATAGGTGGTGGCCGTGTCGTTCCATGATGAGAAGAAAAATGTCCACGGCGGAAAGGGCGTGATTAGAAAGTATGTAGAAACCGAAACCAGTGGCGGCAAAAGGACAACGCAGTAAGAGCAGGAAATAGTAGTGGTACAGGGAACTATGATTCGTTGTTAGTCGGGAACCAGACCACCCGGGGAGATGCTTGTGTCTAGGCAACTTACAAGCTCGACTTCATAGTAGTCACGTCAAACTCCAGGAGCCATGCGCCAGTTGCAAGTCACAAATAACTTTTCGCTCGAGAGAACAGCAGAACAGCAGCATGTGGTTGGCAGATGTCTCCAAGGGTTTCATCGGGTCGAAGGCGGCGGCGGTGGTGCACCCGGCTTCTTGACTCCGGTAGTGTCGTAAGCTCCTCGTCCCATGTTGAAGGCTGACAGATCTCGCAATATCATTTCAGATTCTGAGCGAATGGCCATGGTCAGATGCTGAAGGTTTTCTCTTGCGGAAAGGAGTGGAAGACGGTGGGAAAGATATAGAAAAGCGAAGGCGGATGTTTTGAAGGGAAGTGTGTTTCAAGCCTGGGAGAAGTGTACTCACAGGAAGATTAAATAAACACACGACGGGCCTCCCCAAAAAAGAAAATACCAATAAATAAAAAGAGCTCGATTATTATTCTGACTGTGCGTCGTGTTGATAGATCGTGTGTAGGACTAGCGAGGTACCCAAGCGATTCCCGGCAGCGAACAGGCGGTAACGACGCAGACAGATGATGCAGGCTGCAGGTGAGATCGGAAGTGGGATCCTTATTAAGGCGCACAAGTCTGACACTGGGTTGGAGACGAGACAGGGTGGTGTAGTGTAGGCAGATCTGAGTAGGGCAGGAATGCGACTGTCGAAGTACCAAGAAATGGGCGTGTAAGAATGAGGAAGGGTGGAGTCCTTAAACCCAATCGACAGGTCGCTTTTTTCTTTGTTTTTACCCTCTTTTGATCCTCTTTAGACACTCATGCGGTTCGAAGACGTTTATTTTCTTTTTCCTTCTTTCCCCTTGGGAACTTTTTTCCAGGTGGCAGAGCGACGAGAGATAAAAAGTACGCGAGACGTGCAGATGATGGTAATTGGAAACAAGCGCGATCTGATCAAGAACCAGCGACCAAGGACACGGAGGACGACTAATGCAGCCGGCAAGGAGGTGATCCTGGAAAGGAGCACGGAAGTGAGCTCCGTCTAATCCGGTAAAAAAAAGAAACCAAGCTAGACTGGACGTATCGCAAGGGAGGATGGAACGCGGCCTGGTAACGTCACGGCGAGGAGGATCGGGAATAGAGCCGAGGGCGAAGGGAATGGGCGAAAGTACGTAGGGAGGAAGAGGAGAGGAGCTGGACGAGGAGGAAGGGTGAGTTTAATTGATTTTAGGAATGGATGGATGAAGAATTTAGTAGCCAGATGGTTGAAGGGGGTCCATCCCATAGATATATAGTGACTAGACCTTCTTACTTTATGGTTGATTTATTTTTTTTTATTCTAAAATTTTAAATGCTCAGATTGGGGTGATTTCGAACTTAGACAGAAAGAACCTAAACTTCTGAAAGTAGGAAGTCAAGAAAAATAGAAAATCAAAATAAAGGTGGAAGATACCTAATCTAGATACGGAAAGACAAACAGAAAAAGAAAATTCAAAAAAGGAAAAAGGGAAAAATAAAAGTTGGAAATCCAATTGGGAAAATGGAAAAACTACGGAGAGAGTAAGAGGCTAAACCTGGCCAGAAGAGTGTGTAAACGGAGCAATGACGGAGTCATAGTAATACGGCGAAGACTAGAAATTTGAGAGAGACACAGAAATTAATAAAAGCAAAATACGCATACAGTAGGAGTAATAGTAATAATAACAACAATAATAGTAGTCGAGCAACAGCTCTCTTTAGCATAGCTAGGCGGCTCTCCCGTCCCGAAGGTAAGGTACCGTAGTACGTGAAAGGAGTGGGTGCGATCCATTTCCCCCTTTCTTTTTCTTTTCTTAGGGGTTTCTGGCCCCCATCACCAACGTCGTGACGCCTCTCTCGGACGGGAAACTTTGTAGCCACCTACTAAGTAATAGGTAGCTCAGGTGAAGGTTGGTATCTTTTTTACCTTTTCGTTGCTTTTCTATCCTATCCCTTTGCTTCTTTGTCTGAGTCGCCTCATGTTATTCCCGGTCACTCAAGTGGCTCTCCATCCGCATCCCATCCCCCTTCCCCCCCGTCAGTTGCTACTACTAGACCTTCCCGATGATGGCTGATACCTAGACACGGGTTCATCTCGGAAATTGTAGGGAAACCACAGGAAGAGTCCGTCTAATCCGTAACGGAAGTGACCTTACCTAGATTGTTTCTGAATAGAGAAATCCATTCCATCGATCATGGCCTAGTTCGGAGAAGACCTTGCCCAACCAGTCAAGGGACCGACCTCTCCGACTATAGTAAGTAAAGGTACTGTAAATTTGTAATGGCATTGAGAATTTAGCCACTGTTCAGCAGTCATCATCATCATTCTGACGACCACCACACCAGTAACGGAAAAAGGAAAATACCACTACAGAAGAAATTTTGAGGTCTCCACTGACTGTACGGAGAACATCAGTCAGAAGCTAGGAACCGATTCCTCGGACGCGACGGGCAGGTTTGAGTGCAGGTGAGTGGGGAAGGCAGCCGCTCACAGGATCCCGCGGATGGATCCGAATCCAGCACCAATGGGTCCGCTGGGGCTTGACCTGATGCTTTCTCGCGTGGTTTTTGGGGGGGTGTGGGAAGGGAAGAACCAAAGTCAGGGGCCCCTGGATGGGGGAAGGAGCCTGTTTCCCGGAAACCCTACGTATTCAAAATTCCATGGGATGTCCATAGCTAGCTAAGTAGGTCTGTCTGGGTGCTTTTGCACAGCATGACCCCATGCAGATGTTTTGACTTTTCTTCTTTTCTTTTTTTTGCCCTTCCCTTTTTGCTCATTGATATTCGCCTCTTATCCTATGAAACGGGGTCTCTGAATTTTCGGGCTGGATCTATTATTTACCAGTGGTGGCTGCTAAGATTTAGAGCGGCGCACCCTTGTCGGTAGCTCCCCCCTAACACGGCTAGACATCCTGGAAAGGGCCGGAGTACCTGCATAGCCGCACTTATCTATCGAGCTCGACTACTGTACGATCGAGATGATCGAACTTTGATGGCGCCAACCATGGTTTGATAGGTAAGGTCCAGAGCTCTGGGCTATCACTTTAATCATCCTGGGCGTAGAAGTATGTAAGTATGAAAAGTACTCTCAGTACTTTGACAAACCAGCTAGCTGTTTCTGCTTTCATCCGTAATGGGTAAGCAAGCAGGCATTCAACCCTACGGGAAGTTGGCCTACTAACTAACTACTAGTAAGTAACCGCCGGGGATACGGAGGACCAGGGTACCTAACCAGGTTCAGAACCAATCCAGAAGCTTTCCGTCCGGTAGTTAGTCACCTGCTGCACTTTAGTTTGGAGTAGTTTCAGGAGACTATTTCGCGACCAAGATCACTGTTTATTGATGGACCTCCCTAGCCTGGCCCACCATTTCTCCTGGTTTGATTCATGTCAGCCACAGAGAGATTAGCACCGGTTTCTGTCACCTCTGGCCCTCGTTTGTCGTCTCTGAGTGAGCAATCAACATACACAGGTCAACTATCTACTAAGCGAATCCGAGCTGACCTCAAGACATTGTCTGTCTTTACTCTTTCTATTTCCTTATCCTTCATTTCCCGCTGAACTTCTTTTCCGTCCTCTGATCTTTTGGCACATTCGCGTCTTCCTTCCCTTTGGTCACCGGGGAAATCGGCTGGCTGAAAGGGGCAGTGGGGCCCCCTAATAACGATCCATGATCCGGCAAATCCACTGTTACCCGCCTCCGTTACGTATTATTGTGCAACTCGCATTCTTCTCGCGCGCTTCTAGTCCTTCTAGCGCCCTCGCCCTGCTTGTTCGCCCCCGCGACCGCGGATGGAGCTGCGAGCAACCAGAAACAGCGCGCCAATTTTGCAGCTTTTCGGTCCTACGATCGCAGACTACCAGACTCTAGTAAACGATAGGCTCAATTTACGCTGGGTCCAGGAGCCCTCTAAAACTTCCCGAAGAACAATCTGGATGTTCTTCCCCCCCGGACAAATTGGGGGATTCGCAGCCCTGTGCGGATTTCTGGGGGTTGACATCTCCGACTGCATGGAGGAAGCTAGTTTAGTTAATACTCAGGTAAGCAAGCTCTCTCACTCGTCTGTTGTTCTGTAAATTGTGGCTGGAATTACAAATTACCTCTGTCGCTTGACCGTCGTTACCCAGTATGGGCTAAATTATTCGACTCCACCAGCCCATCCCACTACATCATTCTTACCACTTCTATTCCTGACCTTCGCCACAATGGGGCAAAGCAAAGTAGTAACGTCTAGACGAGTGGAATTCTAGACTGACTCGAGCTGCTCAAAGCCGCCCACGTTTGCCCAACCTCTTGCTCACTTGGGTAGCTTCTGATCCTCTGATAGTATCTCCGTTGTAGACCGTCTTGACGTCGCCGTCGATCTGCGCGGAGAAACAATGCCACAAAGTGCCAAGCGACGCATGTACCGGGATTCGCAACATGGGACTCCCTGCTAGGCTGGCGCGTACGCGTGTTTCAATCCAACCGATGGATTGGAACTAGCAGTCACAGTCACAACGTAGGCGCTTTATCTTTGTTTGGGGATGTCTGATTACACCTTATCTCACAACTGGTTCGTACTTTTCCCGTCTCTTCTCTGACTAGCCAATGACGTGAATTAATTGAAAGGGACATAGTTGGCCTTTTCTTTGTGGTCGAATAGGACGTTATGACTGTGTCAGCAGGAAGAAGTAGAGTTGCTGATAGCATCAGATTCTGAGACATGAGACCATCCCATCCAATGGAATGGCATGACTTGTATCTTTAATCCTTCAATTTTTTTTTTGCGACAAGCCGTCCTCGGCTACATGTGACACCTTAGCTTGGTTTTTTGTTTTATCATCATGATCCTGGACCAAACAGCCGAACATACACACCCACACAATAATAACCACCCAGCAATAATAATAGCACTCGTCAATTGACCCCAGAAATCCAGGCCCAACAGCCGGCACACCCTCTCACGCCCAGTATCCAGCAATAGCTACAGAAACAGAAACATCAACAAAAAGCAAACGCAAGCAAGTGTTCCACCCACTTGCGCCCGGATGGGTCAAAGTCAACTCAACCACCTCTTCCAGAACGATTCTAGAAGGCCCATCCGGATGGTTCTTCCCTTCCCCATCCAACCATGGTTCGCTCGCGGATCGTACCATCCGTCATGGTCCCCGGGACTTTACGCCTCTGAACCCGCTGGCTGCCAAAAAAGAATAATAGAAATCGGGGATACGAAATAAAACCCACAAATTGCAAAAAGAGCTACTGTAAGGCAGAAATGGCTATTATGATCCCCGTCTCAACGGCCCGAACATGTCCCCAAAAGAGGAAATTACTCGATAGGCGAACCACCACGACTCCATCGAGAGAGTGGATTTGTCCTCCGTAATTGGTTTACGGGGAGGCTAGAACGGCGCTAGAAACCGGAGGAACGGGACTAATGAGTACTTTGGTCTAGCGAGAAGGGTGGAAAGGGAACCGTTGGGCGGTATTGCCTTTTTGGAAATGGAGGAGAAGGAAAGCCAAAGGTAAGTACTCCGTAGGTTGAGTTTTTTCTTTCCGGGTTCCGCAGACGCTAGAGTGTGTTTTAACTTGTGGATATTATGGCTTTTTTTCTAATTGGGTCGGTCGGTTTTGGAAGGCTAGATCGTTGGAAGGATTGAAGAGGATTGGGAGAAACGGCATGGAAAGGATTGATAGGATCCTTCCGATCCGATATGGTTAACTATTTACTGACTGTCGATAGATAGTTGGGCTGATTATTCAAGCTATCTGGCTATCTATTTGTCCGACTACTGACTGACTGGTCTTCAATAGGGCGTTGGGGATATATTGAATTGGATAGATAATGGATACATCCAGCAATCAATCAATCCATTGAGGATCCGTCGCGAGCTGCTACTTGCTTGCTTGCTTACAATTTTGGTAAGTGGTAACTAAGTGGTTAGTGGTAAACAGGGATCAGACCACATGATTGTGATTAGTTTCATGATCCATCATTTCGAACTTTTTTTCCTTGCAAGCCACTAATAATTCCCGCACAAGGAAACAGCGATGAGAAAACCTGACCTGTCATGCGTGAACGTTCATCTTGGAGTTCGTTCGAAACATGTCTAGGATTCTGCGACGGTGGTGGTTGGATGCAGATTGATTGATTGATTGATTGATTGATTGATCAATGGATGGGCCGAAGTAGTCCGAACACGGAGCCAGAAGTACTACTACTAACTACCTTAGCCATGAAGTAAACATGTATTTTACTTTACTTCACGTCCAAATGGCTCATTCGTTGGTTCATTCGTTCCCACAACCAGGTTCAAGGTTCAAGGGTTAAGCATGGTTTAGTTTTCACTGCAAAAATATGACTGGACATGATTCAGCCCGCATCGGCAAGATGCATTAGCCATGCAGAAAAAAACAAATCTAATTCTAGCAAATACAGCAACACCTCAACGTCCGATTTTATTTAATTCCCCGTGGAAAGGGAACATACCAGAATGATCGAGATCCGGTTCTACTTTCCATGGTATCGCTGTATAGTACGGCCGGGTATCGGGATTATTCTGCAGCAGATCGTTTTAATTCAGCCACAGAAAGAGATAAATGGATGTATGTACTGCATGTGGCTAGATACATACAGACATACATACTGCAGAGCAACATCCCAGATGAAGAATACAATACAGTAGCCAGAGAGGATCGACCGATCTGCCGTGAAACACGAAAACCAAACCACTTAACTTACCCTTACTGTACTACTTAAACTATAGCCAAGAGGGAAAAAGGATGAGGATGATGTGCTTCTGAAGAGGAGGTCTGTTCGCCATTGCATAGTACCTTGCAGAAAACTATGGGACGGGGAATGGGCGAGGGTTATGCGACCGACGCAGGGGGAACTGCATTTGCTAGATTGATTATGGTTAATGCCAAAGCGTTTTTTGCCTCTTGTTGATCAGGTAAATAATGTACGTACGTACTTTTGGCGATTTACCCTGTGCAGAAGTGGAAGTGAAGACATTGTCTTGTTTTACATAGTAAGTAGTAGTCTTGCATCAACACAACCCGTTTCTACCCAGTAAATATGTACGTGCGTTGAGTGGAATGGGACAGTGAGTGAATGAAGAAATCCCCGAAGGGCTGAAGTGAATGATCAATTGCCATTATGGGTACAAGTATTTCCTTGCTGAAAGGTAAATTATTCCTTTGTTCATCATCAACTAGCACTACTGTTAGCTAAGCTCTCAATCAAGGCGGCAATTCTTCAGTTCTACAGCTACTATCCATCCAGGTGGAACACGTGCCTTGACAGTGGCGTGAAACCTGAACATTCAGGCCGGAAAAACTACTAGTCGGGGTTGGTACCTGCCAAGACTCTAGGCCGAGTTCCTGGGCTGAGCTGAGCTGAGCTGAGAGTTGAGCTATCTGTCTGTCTGTCATTCAGTCAAATCATTTTAGTATTTTTGCTCCCATAACTCAAAATCAATAATGCAACCAGAATCCATGCGACATGACTGATCCAGAGAGAGATATTAGAGAGAGTACTCCGTACAAAGTAGGTAATTTGCAGTTAACAACAAAACAACACGTCCAACCCGTTATCCCTAACCAGGAAACGATATTCCCCCTTCTTCTTTCTCTTTTTCCTCTTTCTCTCACACACTCTCTCCCCCCCTGATCCACCTGAGTGGTAACAGACCAAAGAGAACCTCGATAACCCTACAGAACTACAGGACTAGAGGCGCGCGGAATCGCAGCCGGCTTTCCTTTAGTGTCCACTTCTCGTCCACGGGATGGCGTTCTAGAAGGGGAAACTTGATCGGATCGTCTGCAAATCCTTTTGGGTTCCCGGCTCATTATTACGAACGGGGCTGAACTGAATGAAAGAATACTAGGAAAGGGGAGGTGTGTTTTTATTTTTCTTCCCAATAACAGTGCGGACGGATGATGGCGACTTTTTTTTTCGATAGATGGATTTATTTTGTTGATGATTCACCTGATAAGGATGTCCCTTGTCGCCCTGTCGATGTTTTCTTTTTCTTTTCTTTTTCTCTTTCTTGTACTTGCTATCTTTCGGTTACTCTTTTTTCTTTTCTTTTTCCTCTGCTAAGGGTGATCTTCTAGATTGATAGATAGAGCGAGAGAGAGAGGGGGAGAGGATGGGAAGGCGCGCGCGAACGGACGGACGGACGGGATAGATACATGATAGTTACACAGCTCCAGCTACAGTAAGTCACGGGAGAGAAAGAAAAGGGAAGGGAAGGAAAGGGAAAGAAAGAGGTCCACGGTGGATGTATCAAGTTCCATGTCAATCCAACTAACTAACGCATCCACCCGCCACTCTGGAACCTCATTTCGCTTCCCCGTTCCGGACCATATTTCAATTCCCCTTTTTAGGTCATGGTGCATCCCTCCCCCCCGTCTCTCCTTCCCCCCGTATCACCTCAAAGACATATTTTCTTTTATTTCTTCAGCCACCCAGCAAACCAGACAGATTGATGCGTGATGATCGCCTTGCCCCGTCCGTCAGCCTCATCATTAGTCTGGATGCTGAGCGACCCTCCATCCGTCCCAAAGGGAAGGGAAGGGAAGGGAAAGGATTGAAGGGGGCCCGGTCCATGCATCCATCCCATCTGACAGACTTCCCGATTCGGAGTGATGATCTTCAGGTCGCCTCCGTGGCGGACCCAGCTAGCTAGCATTATTATTTTTTACACTATAATTATTTTTTTTACCCTTTACTGAAGAAAGCTAGATAGTTAAGTAGTGATTGAATAGATAGATCAGATCATTCTTTAAAGCAGCTGAGCTATTTTACCTACTTAGTACTGTACCTATCTTCCCGGAGATGATGGCGCAAGTGAGCGATCATACATCTCCGCCGAGATGAGGCGGTCCCCCCCCCCCCTTCCCCCGCCTCCACTTCTCTTCTTTCGCCATGATAGCAATTGATCTTAACTGAGAAAGTTCTGGAATGGTTGCTACGCGATGTGTATGGAGAAGTAGTAGTACCTACCTCTTTAGGTAGATGCTGGATCCCTTGTCAGTGGAGCCACTTCTTCCTTCACACGGCATATGGCAGCTATACACATCCATTATTAGCTGCCATAATAATGCTCCACTAGAAGAGAACATCCATGTCTGCCGTCAAAGTACTGACTTTACTCCATATTGTAGTAGATAGTCTAGACTACATAATAGAACCGGAGCATTATTCTCATGATTATAATTATACAATTATTATTATTACATAGTGTTACTATACATGGATGGCCCCCCCGCCCCGTCTAGACCAAGTGTTGTCGTCCCAGCTAACCCTCTAGCTGCATGAGCAAGTGAATGAGTGACCCCGATAATCGTGCATCTATCTATCTATCTTTTCTTTATCAAAAGTACGGCTTGACTATTAGTTTATCCTGTCAGACGGAGATGAGTGACCAACTCCGCGGGTCGAACTAATTTC